GCTACGCTCCAGAAAATAAAACTAAAAAAAGAGCGTTGTCACGTTAAAGGGCACATTATAACGAACCCGACAAATATAAATTTATTTGTATGGGTTTGCTGGAACGTCGATGTTTCACACTGATCCTTCACCTGGTGTGCGCATATAAAAAATTGTTTTACAATATCAGATCATTCCACCAGTGTATGTTATGATTATTATCCCACACCACTTTATATTATAATAAAAATGGGGTGGATTAGTAATAATAATACCCCGTGATCTTGATATAGTGATCGGGGGGTATTATAATCATAACATGTACTAGCAGAATGATCTGCAAAATAATATTTTATATGTCGCACATTGGGTGAAGGAACAGTCGTGTGACATTGACGTTTCCTGTTGTTTGCTGGTTCAAGGGTTATTGCAGCTTGAGTTTTCTATGTTTTTACTATTAAATTATCGTTGATCTACAGTTCATTGTAAAAAATCATGATTAGCGCACTATATTTGTAATTACAGTAGACTGATGTCGTACACTTCAGTATATTATGGTAATCGATATTATAAATAGAATTTTTTAAATGTATTTTTACCATGTCAGGTTCTACTCTATGAGAAAAGTGGTCCGGGTGTTGATGCGGGTTGACTCGGGGTTGTCTGGATAGGCACGAGTCATTAGGGTGTACAATGCTATGATAGTTAGCGCTTAAAAGCAATATCTAGCGTTTGGTGTTACGCTAAATTACTTAACTGGGTAATTTCGGTTGTATTGATATTTAATTTAGGTAATTGATCGTCCTCGAATTTGCTTTCTTTAGTAATTTTGCGGTTCACAAATTTCAACTTATTGTATACAGTACTAGCAAATCGCCCGTGCCTCTGGCACGGGGGAAAAAATGGTTATTCGAAAGAATGAATTAAATATAATATTTATAGTTAGAAGAGTTTTGATAGTTTGAATAATATGGTTAATTAATGCTAGTATAATATTTCATAATTAAATTTATATTGTTTGGGAGATAGTATTTTTAGAGTTGTGTTATTATTGTATTATAATAATGTGTTTTATAGTCAAAATGCATTTTATAGACAAAATTAGATTTATAATAAGTTGAATATGGTATAATAGTAGAAAGAAGAATTTGATGTTTTAAATAAATAAATTGATAATTAAATTGTATTAATATTTATTATTTTGGGTTTAAAGTGTTGTTTACGAATATAATAGTGTTATGTTGATTGGGATTGTAGTAGTTTTGAGGGTAATTAATATATTTAATGATAGTAATAGATATAATTATAAAATATGCAATTAGAATTGAAGTTAAATATCATATGAGTAACTTGTAATAATATTATTGAATTTTGTATTGAGATATGTTATATATTTAATAAAATAGGTTTAGAGAATTGCTAATCTTAACCGGGAAATTTTCTCTGGGGTGTTTAGAGATGCTATATTTCAAAAACATACTAAGTAAATAGGATTGGGTATCTTAAGCAAAAATGCTCAGGACCCCTGATAACCTTGTAAAAACTAATTCAAAACTTTATATCAAACATATATTACATTATATAAAACTCCTATATATTTTAAAGCTGCACCCTAACCCTAAAAATACTAAGGGAAGAAAATTCTTTAGGTTAAATATAGTAATTTTCTTGATTTTATTAAGTATTTTTGGGTTGGGTTTTAGCAAAAGTATATAATAAAATATTGATAATTGTATTTATTTTAAATTTTTTTCTAAATTAAATTTATAATTTGATTAATTTTGATAAGCTTTATTTATATATACTGTAATAAGTTATAAAATAAGTATTAATATTTTATTATTAAAAAATTGATTTTGTGATTTGTTTTAATTATTTAATATTACTTTTGGATAAACTATATTTAGTGTGCTATTGCTATTGTTATTTGGAAAAAAGAACTTTTATATAGTGTGGGTTAGTACAACGGGATAAGGCTACATAGAGTTAACTATAAGAGAAAACTAGAGTTCTAAGATATAAGTCAACATGTTTTACAGTTTGACTTTGTAATTTATTTATAGTAATTGCAAAAGCTAATTGGATAGAAAATTGAAATTGTTTAAATATAAATAGAAGTTTAGAAGTAAGAGTGAAAAATAAAGGTTAAATTGCTAGCATAGTCTCTAGTTAAAATATAAGCTTCAATTACATAATGATTGAGTCATATTATAACTAATCAAGAACTATTGCAGAGACCTTGGTGAGGTGCTAAGTTTTATAAAAGTATGATAGAGCATTCAATTAAGTTTAAGTGTTAAAGGTGGTAGGCTAGTATGTTTGAAAGAATTTAAATATTTGTTAGAATATAGTTTGTTATTAATTTCTTCAAATATTATACTATCAGAATAAAAAAATATTTATTTCTTTCTTGAAGAATGTCAAGAATAGCAAGATTGATATTATTAATATCAACATCAGAGAATGAAAGTATTATTTAGTCTTTTAAATATTTATCAGTACATATATTTTTAATATTAATATTATAATAGATTGATCTGGTAAGAGAATTTAAGTTAGGGCTAATTTTCATATTTTTAGATATAGTAATAGTGTTGTTAAGATTAAATGTATTTGTGCTATTGCCAATTTAAATACAGTAAAACCTCTATAAGTGCACGCCCTTGGGACCAAGCTTTAACAACGTGCACTTAGAGATTAATAAGAAAAAGTGCATTTATAGAGAGCATGTATATATTTGGGCCAGAACTTGAGCGTGCATTTAGAGAAGGTGTACACTTATAGAGGGTGCACTTATGGAGGTTTTACTGTACAGTAAAACCTCTATAAGTGCACGCCCTTGGGACCAAGCTTTAACAACGTGCACTTAGAGATTAATAAGAAAAAGTGCATTTATAGAGAGCATGTATATATTTGGGCCAGAACTTGAGCGTGCATTTAGAGAAGGTGTACACTTATAGAGGGTGCACTTATAGAGGTTTTACTGTAATAGAAATAAATTAGTTTAATATGAAATTAGAAGTTAAAGAAAATTAAAATTATTAAAAGCCATTGTACAAATTGTTGATTGTCAGCAAATTCAAATTCAAGATACATATTTTTTTAATATATGTATTTTTTATTTGATTATAAAAAGCTTGAGAACTAGTATTATTAATAAGTAAGAAAAATATTTAAATAAACATTTAACTTTTACAGAAATAACAATTACAAACTAATTTTTTGAATCAATGCTTTTTTACATTTTTTAAGCCATCTGGTCAGTGATTTATGTATTTGATGCAGATTTGATCACTAGATTATAAAAGTATTGGCTATAAAAATTGTATATATGAAGTTCTTTTTCTTAAATGAATACATTATATATATATTTATTTATTTATTTTTGCTTCTCTTTTTTATAACAGGAATGTAATGTTAACTACTAAATCAAATTTATTTGATCTAATTAACAACTTGGCTAGAATCTCTAGACTAAATTTAACTTGAAGTCAATTCATTATAATAAATTTACTACATTAAAAATAGTTTATTTATTTTATTTGTTCTTTCATTCCATTTGCTCTCACCTCTAAGAGTTTCGCAAAGTGATATTAACTGAAAAATTAACTTCAAATAGCCAATGGATATTCAAAGGACAATTACACAAATAGGTAAATAAAGTAGTCTTAATTTGTTTATTATCATATTTTTTATAGTAAATATATAAATAGCTATCTCCTTTTTACAGCTAATAAACTTCAAAAACTTTCTCTATGTTATTTAGTTCTAATTCACTAATTATTTGAGAAATATCTATAACTATCTCAAGATTCATATATATGTTGCCTCCTTCATCAATATCTATAAACTTTTTATAAACTATATGTTTAATCTTTTTAGATTTTATTTTTGCTTACAGATATAATTTTAAATTTGTTCTTTACACTTCTTTTCAGCTTTCATTTATACAGGTTGAACATTCAAAGCATGTTTTTTGATTACTTTGAAATATAATAATAGATTTTATAATTTGACAAGACAAACAAAGGTTTGGATTTTCTATTTTATGATATTAAAGAAAAAATAGTTATTCTTATTATTACATGTATTATTATTATTAATAAAATGTTGTCATTATTGTATCAATCATGTCAAAAATAAACTTGATATTGGTGTCAATACTAGGTGGGTTGCACACTTTAAAAAATTTCACCCAAGTAACAAGTTTTATTTTTATAATAATAAAAAATTTAATACAAGTATGGTATCAAAATACAAGTATCGAAAAAAAACCTAAGTTTATACAATATAATAATTTTTTCAATTTATTTTCCATTATCATCTTATTTTTATATTTAATTTCAATCTCTCTGGTTTTTAATTCTAGTTGTAATTTATACTCAAGATCTAATTTGTACTTTTCTAAATCAGATTTTTCATTTTTTTCATGTTCCTATTTTTTTTTTCAAAATCAAGTTTATCTATTTCTAACTAAAGAAGTTTTTGCTTAGTTCAATCTCAGTTTTTTAGTGTATAATTATATCAATAGACTTTATATAATGCATTTCATATTTATCTAAACACTGTTTCTTATTAGATTTTAGAGTGCAATCCTTATTATTATCATTATCTTTTTGCAAGTTATTATAATAAGTCTATATATATTACAATTATAATAATATTTGTTTTATATACAAATACAAAGTTATGTTACAGTAATATTTATCTGATCTGTGCTATTTACCAAATAGTTAGGATTTACATTTTCATAGTTTTTGAATATATCATTCATTTCATTATAAAAGGCCAAGTTGATACTCTTTTTAAGTTTGTTTAAGCTTTCTTCCATATACTTATTGATAAGTGATCAGATTTTATTACAAACTTGATCTCCTGTTTTACTATTACCAAGGTATAAAGCAGCTTTAAAGTAAAATTTTTTTTATTTATTCGGTAAAGTAGCATATTTTTAGATAAGTAAGAAAGTAATAATTTAATAATTGTGCTTGGCCAAAGACAAGACTCTTTATAACTATCATTTAAACTATTTTTTTGGTTTTTAATTTTTGTTTAGGGACTGAAGATGATGGAGAAGGCAGAGCTAGAGCTAAAGCATCTGATTCAAGAGGTAAATAGATATTATTTTCATTAGATGAGATAGTTTCTTCCAAATTAATTATATCAGAAGTTTACTTAGAAAAATTTTGTCATGTAAACTTTTTGGAAGTTTTATTTGGATAAACTAAAAAAATCAGTTTGGTTTGTGCTTGTTTTAAGATGTCTATTTTTTTTTTTTTTTTTTTTTAATTGTTTTGAAATTGAGCTTTTATATATTTATATCAAATTTATTTTTACTAACTTCACTGTCATTCTGATATAGCAATTAATAAGATTAGTAATTCTTTTTTTTAATTAGAAAAAAAATATATTAATCTCTATATTAGGTTAATAATAAGATTTTATAGTGAGTACATACAGAGATAAATTAGTACATTATTTATTGTTAATTTAAAAAAAATTTCTAAAGAGTACTTTTGCAAAACCTTTTATCGTGTTTGTAAAATTTTAGTTTAGTGATTGTTCAAGTGATTATTGTTTAAAACCGAACTTCACTGCCTACTCTATTTATACAAAAATGAAGAGGAGAATGAAAAATAAAAAAAGCTGAAAGAATGCAAAGTCTCGCTCTTTTTCACCCAGCAATGGATATTGAATCATTGCAATAATTGTAACAATAAGTAATCTACACCATCAATCATGATAATATTCAAATGCCTCTTTTATATTTTTTTCAACTCCTATTCTATATTGATAACAATGTCTAGCATTATTTATTCTATCTTCATGTCCCATATTTGCAGATTTTTGATAATATTTAAACATCTCATTTATATTTTTTTGAATTCCTATTCCACTTTAATAACAACGTCCAAGATTATATATTTCATTGGCTTGTTCTATATCTATTGATTTTTGATAATATTCGAAAGCCTTCTTTTATATCCTTTTCAATCTCTATTCTATTTTAATAACAACATCCAAGATTATATATTCCAATTGCATTCTGTTACGGTCATGTTTTTGACAATAAATGAATGCCTTGTATTTATCTTTTTTAACTCCAATTCCTTTTATAAAACAATTTCCTACTTGATTATTCTATCAGCATTCCCCATATCAGCAGAATTTTGATAATATTAGAATGCCTCATGTTTATTCTTTTCGGTTCCAATTCCATTCTGGTGACAACATCCAACATTATATATTCCATCTGTATATCTGATATCTGCAAAGTTTTGATAATATCTAGATACTTTCTTTATATTCTTTTTAATTCCTATTCATTTTCATAGAAATGACCAAGATTATATGTTCTATCAGCTTGTTCCATATCTGTTGATTTTTGATAATATTCAAAAGCCTTCTTTATAACATGCCCCACATCTGCAAATTTTTGATAATATCTGAATGCTTTCTTTGTATCTTTTTTAGTTCCTATTCCATTTTCATAGCAACATCCAAGATTATATATTCTATCCACTTGTTCCATATCTGCTGGTTTTTGATAGTATTTGAATGCCTTCTTTATATCTTTTCAATTTCTATTTCATTTTCATAGCAATGTTCAATATTATATATTCTATCTATATATCCAATATCTGCAAATTTTTGATAATACAGGAGGCTACTAGTGTATTGTGAACACTTTTTAAAAATTCATATAAGGCTAAATAAATATAATATCAAGCTAAAAATTATTTAAAAGATTTATTAAAATAAAAAAAAAATTATAAAATTCTATGCAATAGTTTTTAAAATAATTAAAATAATAAAATTTGTGTAATGTTATATCAGTACAAAGCTAGTAATATTAAAAAAATTATTAAAATTATATTTATATAGTAAAAATTAATTTTTTATTAAATAAACTAAATTTTTAATTTTATAAAGTTATTTAATATATATAAAAAAAACTCTTTCCGTCTATCACTCGTATACAAATTTCTCCCAGCTTAATTATTTAAAATACTTTATAACTTTATTTTTTACTAAGTTAACCTTAGTTTTGCTACTAAATAAACTTATTTGTTACCAAAAAATACATATAATACTTGAATATTAAACTAAAAACTTTTAAAGCTATCGAGAAACAGCCACTTGGCCTTTTTTCTTATATTTTACTTAATAACTCTAAAATGGTTATCTAAACCTACTCTCTGAACTTAGAAAAACTTATCAAGCTCACTTTTCCCATCATAACAAGCTAAATTTCAAGCTTGTAAACCTAAAACTGATGGAAATATACTTAAAAAACTTCCAAACTCCCCTAAGTTTTTCTTCTTTTTCTTCTAAGGTTCTTTTTACAAAAAACCCTATAGGCGTTTTCTGTGCAATGCTAACTATTTTTAGACCATATTACCCACGCTTTCAACTACTCAAAATTAGTGGTTTTCTACTAATTACATCAATTTCATTTGAATTTTTAATTAAAATTTAATATTTACAAAACAGGAAATATTTAACTAACACGAATATATAGTTTGCACCTATTAAATTACAGTAACACAATACAACTTGAGCTACTCTAGCCACCCTAGCCACAGTTACACAAGCCGCAGTTACACAAGCCGCAGTATCTAGGGGTCTTTAAAGTGGAGAGATCACGTAAAATACTGTTTTCATTAACTTTAGGGTTAGGGCTCACATTGAGCTAGGGTTAGAGTAGTTTCTGTGTTTAGACTACAGTTTCTTCTATTTTTCGCATATTTTTTCTTTTTTTCGCTTGGTTTGCTTTGTCAGGCTGATCCGCAATCATCAAATTTTAACAATTTGATTGGTTAATTATAACGTAATCTGCCCCGCTTTAAGGGACCCAGTATCTAGAAGATTCTATAGTGTAATATTACACAAAATAAAATTTATACTGCCCAAAGCTCACTACTACACCATTTCAAATCTACTAATATCTCTAAGATATAATGCCAACTCTTATCAGTGAACTAGCCGATACCTTAGATCTTGACTATTTTTACTCGACCTGTAAAAATAGTTATGGTATTGCACTTTTTGAAAGAGAGAGGAAAAGTTATATGAGACCAATTCCCCTATACAAGCTTCATCAACTTGTCTTACCAAAACTACTAGAGCAACCAACAAAATAACGCATTTATTCCCTGCACCCCCTTCTACTTCTATTGTCAAATGCTTATACAACAAATACTATACCAAATTTGTCTTCAATTTTAATAATACTTACCAACTCTATACAGACTTTTCTGTAATTAGAACAGGAAAAAGTGCAAACTCACAGACCTCGACAAAACTGCTACTCTTATTAACAAATCTCTAATACTAATGAAAATATTCCTCCCTCTTCTACTCCCCAAATATGCCCATCACCAATGCCTACAATGCAGTTTAACAATTGCTTGCAAATTCTACAATGATTGACATTATCCAATCAAAAACTATCAATTAATCAATGAAGAAGTCTATTATGCCAACTATGCAAACACACTCGCATCTTCTTCTAAAACACCCAATACAACTATCGTAGATCTACCCAGGAAAGATTTAACTCCTCTTTTTCAACAAGCCTTAGACGACAAACCAAAGCATACACTGTCCTCTAAACGATCAACCACAAATCCACTATCCCAAACTATTAAACCTCTTACTACTACAACTACAGACAACAATAACAATTCAACCAAAACAAAGTCTACCTCTATTCCAACCTCTATGGAAATTGACAGCGACACTCTTCAAAATCTACCACACAATACCGAAGTCAATAATAACATCCCTCCCCTTCATGAAATCCTAATTACCGAAACTCTACTCCCAGAAACCACCAAATTCAACAAGAACACTACTCAAACAACCTATTCATCAATTGTACAAAAAATCTCAACCAATACTATCACTACTTTCCTGAACAAAAGTCAAACTAAACAAGCTAAACCCAGCCCAACCTTCAACTAGTTCTCCAACTTTCCAATTACAGAAAATATGAAACCTAATACCAGACTACAAACTCCTTTTTCTCAACATTTATATGATTTACTTAAAAAACATCTTCACAACTTCTACCCAGGCTCTACACTTAAAGCAGCAACACCAAACAAACAACCCCTGAAAGCAAGTTTTTACCATATCATTTGTTGCATGGCAGAAGAAAGACCAGACTTTCATAATAACTATATCTTTCAAATCAACTCTTCAATCAATAAACAAGCAACTATTCCCTTTAACATACTAGAAGATACTTTTAAAAAAATTCCAACTAAATTTACTTCAATTCTTTTCACTAAACTTAACTATCCTAAAATTTTTACCTCTCCGGCAACCATTCCCCCTTATAAAGCTGAAAACTGACTCCAATTTTGCCTGAATCTGGCATGCTTACATCTTTATCTCCAAAACACATACCAAGCTATTGACTATAACAAATTTGCAGAAAACCTCAGCCTTCATTATAAAACATATAAACTTACTTCCCAGATTGTTAGTACAAACCAAGAAGGAAGATTTCTAACAATTAAATCTGACAATAGATTTAATATCAACTTATTTTTTAACCTTTCCATATCCTTCTTTGAAAAGAACTTCTCAATCCCCTCTTTTAAAAATTTCTCAGACTATTTTAATGAATGATTTGAAGAATTCTTTCTCATTTATAACTGCCAATTTAAAACCACACTTAATAAAGATGATACCTACAACACTCTCCAATCTAAAATTCGCAAAATTTTTGTCCCCCAATTTAAAAGTTACCTTTCTAATATACTGGATACCTTCCGACAACCCTCCTGCTATGAGGATTGCTGTGATGAATGCTATAGACACCTCAACTTCCATATTTTAATATGCAAACATGAAAACTGCAGTTATGTTCTAGATCATAAACATGACACAACCAAACTATTTAAAGTTTTTCTAACAAAATCTTATAAAGAATATCTAAAAAAAATTAACACATCTGAGTTAGAAATCAATCCTTCAATCTTCGGTCCTGATTCTGAAAATGCAGTTACTTTTTCCAAACCAATCCCAACCAAACTTCTTGACAAACTAGCAAACCTTGCAGAACAAGACTATTGCTCTAATAAACTCACCCTCTTCTACTAGACACCGAAACAGTTTTTTTTATCAATACCTCAAAACATACCAAAACCAAGCTGCTACAAACTTACAAATACACAACCTAACCCTAAAAGATACTATCGACAAAGTTACTGCAGAAGTAGTCAGTACTGACTACCTAGCAAGAATCATTACTTATTTTGAACAAGCCCACACTAAAGAATCCTCCTTCCATCATCTTTCACAGTACTATACATATCGCTTACCCTGAAGCTAAAAAAATACTTTCTGAAAAACATAATATAAACTTCGAAATCTCTATCCAAATTGAAGATTCATTATTCCTTAATGAATCTCCTTTTCATTAAATTTATCTTCTACATACTCTATTAATACAGCCACAGCCTCTCTAAAAGATACATTCCTTGTAGTTAGAGAGGAAAATGATATAAGTGAGCAGGTGGTAAAGCCCATTTATCTGGAAGAATCTAATAACAATGGTACTCTAATGTCTAACCAGAGTACTTTTAATTCTTGCAGAACTGTGAGAGCCAAGTATACAGCGAGCGACAATGTAGAAGATATTCATAAAATCCACATTACAATACTCTCTATACCTTATGATTTATCCACCTGCTTCAACTGATTTCTTTTATTTATAAACTCTCCTCCA